TATACGAACCTGTATGTAACATTAGAGGTCTTGCTCTTCAAGACTTCCTTAAAGCCAAGAACTTCGCTGACTCCCTTTCCGGTGCGATATGGCTTTTGCGCGGTCAGATTTGTCTTTATACTGTTGTAAAATGACGTGGCTTTGGCGTCATTCGCAATTTGCTGCATAGATATAGTTGAACCACTAGGTTTCGCTTTCTGCTCCTCCGCGTTGATATTGACCTTCTCCTTCGTTTTTACTAGCAAAGACTGCGTCGATGTGCACTTGTACTTGGAACAACATTTCGACAAATGATACTTATGCAAAATTCTATTGACAGTGTAGAATAAATTTTTCAGTTCTATGGCCTTTCTAACACAATGTGCACTCGTATTCTTATTTTCCTTTTTATCTTTATCCGTTTCTTTATCCTTATTGACGACAGATTCATCGATCTGATCGACGCAAACTTCCGATTTTTTATTTGTTTCGTCGTCTTCATGCTTTGCACAAGACTTTTCCGCTTGTAAATTCGCTTTGTTCTTTAAATTTTTTTCGTCCCCTTTCATCATTTTGGTGAGCTGCTTAATCTTGTGCATCTCCTTGTTAAATTGCTTGCTCATATTGCTGCTTTTCTCAAATTTCTTCGACACATATTTCGTGATCCTTTGTCGGCCCATATCATTCATATACGTCGCAATGATCTTCATCTTTACCATATTCCTTAAGAATGATCGAGCTTGCAATTTGGGGAGGCCCATCTCTTTTCCCAGTAAAGCTATGAAGAGTAAAAAATAAGTAGAAAACTGTTTTTATTTTTAAATCAGCCAGTATTCATAGTTAGAAAAGATACGAGTATATTCTAGATCAGTTACAAAAATCCAAGATTTTTCTCTAACCTTGTGATAATCCTTCTAGTTGACTCGCTTCGATAACAGTATTAGCTTGCTTCAGATAAGGATCGTTGTACTTATGATTGGAGATATCCAGCTCAATGACATCTTCATCGTCATCCTTCTCATCCTTATTCCATAAATCAGCAACATCAACGTCTGGATATAGCACTTGCACTACCCTAATCTTCTTCTCCTTCGCGGGATCTTGTTTCTGTCGCCATTCATTGGATTCGGCATTAGGATACAAAGTCCTGTACGGTACACAGATGTCCGTTTTTACAATCTTTTGAAAAAAGGAAGACTTAAACAATTTCTTGATGGAACTTTCGATCCCTAGCTTTCTTCTGATTTCATCATACTCAGCCACACCGTTTTCCTTGGACCTCAGAATCTCAAGCACTCGTTCCGCCAAGTAGATCATCTTTGGCTTTCGCTCTACGTAGAAACGTGGTAGGTGCAACAGACTGCCGCTGCCGCAATGCCCGGCGCTCTTCTGATGGTGGACTTGCTTTGTAATTAGTTTGTGATGAAGCAGAAACTTTCGATGATAATACAAGGTTTTCGGATCTTCTTTGAGCGCGGCTAAACTGAGTTTGCCTTGAGTAACCTCGCCATGATAACGAGCTCTTCCAACCCTCTCCAAGAAACAATAATGCATAATAGTCAACTCTAATGTTGGATTCACATTAATATCCACCAAAGCTCGTGTTCTGACTGATTGAGATGCTACAATCACTAAACTTAATCCATACTTTTCTGTCACTTCATCCAGACTCGCATTTTTAACATCATTTTTTACATCTGTTCTCGTGTAATATGTGGAACAAGATCCTCTCACGCCTGACTTAGAATCTTGTATAGGGCAATGAGGATAAATATCTGGTGGAACATTTGGCTAAAAGTAGAAAGATAAAATGTAACAAATAATTTTTAAAAAATTGTTATCTAAATTATATTAATGAAGAAAAAACTAAGACAAATTTCAAAATATAAAATTTTTCTTAAAAGTTAAAATGTATAGAAAAGTTAAAAAAATAAAATATATTTTTAGAAAAAATCTGTCACAATAACCAATGAACAATTGATTCATATATCTTAAAATTTTTAAATATATTTCATAAAAACAAATCATGTATGTTTAATTAATATACTTACTGGCTCCAAAATGATACCAAGATCAGGATGTACAAACTCGTAACGATCAAACATGACAAATGGTTCTCTCGGAGTCTTCAATTTGTAATATGAAAAGTCCTTTACTTTTTTACATATTAGCCATACCTGTTCCATGAATGGCTTGGGTAATGGTAATGGATCATGAAATCTGTTTGCTAATCGTATCCACAATGCTAGAAAATAAAAATTATTAAACTATTTATTTATTAAAAATAATAAGTATTAAATCAATAAAATATGTATTTAAAATTAATTTATACTATCAATTCTCATATATAAAAAATAGAAAATTGATCAAATAATTGCTAACCTTGTAAGGTGATGCCGTCTAACCCTTCTAGCGCAACCTCATCGATGATTGATTCAACTAAATTAAATGACGGACAAGCCATGTTTAATTGAGTATATTAACAACAATATACTGAATAAGATAATTATTTTAAATAGTAAGATTAATAATTATAAAACTTTTTAAGTATTCATAAAAATATAAACACAAGACATGCTGCAGTTAACCACTAAGTAAAAAGTTAATTAGAGAGTAAGTTGTCTTCCAAATTTTCGGACATACTTTCAGTCCAAAAACGAAGCTTTCTATTGGATGTCGGATTTCGTAACACAGATCAAATACAGAGTCACAGCAGAGAGAAGACTGAGAGTGGACATGTCTGCATTTTACGTGTTTCTATGGACTAGCGCCTCTATGTGCATAAAACGTGCGCATTGAACTACGTAGCCAATGTCCACTCTCAGTCTTCTCTCTGGTCACAGTATAATTCTATAGTATAACGGAACTATAAACTTTTTTTTTGTTACGTTCATGCTTGATGAATCATAACCTAAATTTCGTGTATTCTACGTGTCTTCAAGCACTTTCGAGATATTGCTGATGCAGTCTATTTGGATTTATGTTCTTACAAAATTTTAAACAAAGTGATTGTCTCTCATATATTATTCAATCATCACGATAAGTGTTACATATATTATAAAAAATTAGACGTTTATGAGTTTATTTGCAAGTAATCAACCATGAGTAAAAGCATGGGTGGGCCAAGCTTGAAGGTAAATTATGTACAGCCTTGAAATATTTTTAGATCTTAAAAGCGCTTTAGAAGCACTTGTGGATTGAAATAGCGAGAATTGCTCCACTTTCTTTCAATATTATTTCCTGATAATGATTGCATGAACGAAAGTCTTGATATATTTCTTATTTTATTGCAGGAACATGATGAGTTTTTAAAACGTATAAAAAAATCTTTATATTATTCCAAATTACCAACGAATGGATGCTTAAGTTTGCCAGTTACTGGTTAGTATAATAGTTAATCCAAAGTTAATGCAAATGTTAAAAAATAAGATTTATGAATCAATTTTTTTTTATATTTTTAGAATTGGTAGCTGAGTTTTTCACAGAAGCGAAGAGTGATCATACATTGAAAAAGCTTGAAGTGGAAGAAGCAAGCAGAATATCTGAAAACGTTTCTCCTTGTCCTCTTGTATTGGCTCTATTGTATATTGAGAGATTAAAGAACCGCAATCGGGAATATCTTCAGCATGTAACACCCTCTGAGCTATTCTTGGTTTCCTTGGTAATTATTTTATTATAAAATACTTTATTTTAAAATTATATATGATTTTAAGAAAACATTCATATTATATAATATGTACAAACAGTATATAAATATATAATATTACAATCTTGTGATTTATGATGAAAAAAATAAGAAAAATATGCTCTGTGCTGAATAAAAAATAAGAAGTAACGAGCTTCAAGCTCGCAAGAACCATTTAGATATGTTGTGATTGATTGTGTAATTTTTATCTCAATACGTTACTTTATTCTTATAAACTTGCTATTAAATATTTGATTTATGTTTTGGAATAAGTATTGCCTTTATTTAATCTGAATATGAATGTATGCACAATAATAATTTATAAATGAATTTTTTTTAACAATTATTAGATGGTGGCCTGTAAATTTCTATATGAAGTTGATGAAGAAGATGGAGTTTTCAATGATGAGTGGGCAAAGGCGGGACTAGTGACTGTGCAATGGATGAATAAACTGGAAAAAGATTTTCTTGCTGCAATCGTAAGTAACGTCTTAATAACTTTTTAACCTAGAATAAAAACATTAATATTATGCTGTTCACAATTATTCATAATGTCAAGTCTATTAACTTTATGATAGATTGAATAATTATTTACCATTGAATATCCTTTCATCATTTTTTGCGTTACAGGATTGGACAGTGTGGGTACAATCTCAGGACTTTTGGAAAAGACTACAACAACTGGAAAAAGATGTGGCTTACCGGGAAGTACGTAAACGGGGTTGGTGCACGTACACTGAGTTGAGTTGCTTGATGAATCCCGTCCAGCTGATCACGATCGCGCAAACCCTAATAAACGTCTCTTCAATTTGCTTGGCGACTTATGTTGCCGGTTTGGCGACTCTCCTGGGATCCACTCTGGTCACTTGCTTCGTTGTAAATAGTGTTCTGCCTGGAGCGTTGCTTGGTGTGAAACAACCGAAGAATCTAGAAACAAATGTTACACCAATCGAGTTGACCTATCCATTAATCAATACGCAATCTCAGGAGATTGGCGACGACAATTTGCTGATATCCGCCTCGTTGAACAGCGATGAGAGCGTTGTGGATTATTCTTCAACTGCAGAAATTGACAACAACAACAACAACGACGACGACGTAGTCTGGCAATGGTGGTTGAACTCGACGATGACTTGGCTGCCTGAGTATTGCTCTTTGAAGAGTAACGTCGAGGTCCCGAATTCCACTAGCAGATTGTGTGTTATGAATGTTAATTCTTCGTTCAACGCGTCACACATTACGGAGATAGAGAAGATAGAGAAGATAGAGGAAACGGAAGATTTTACACTGGAAGATTATCGTCGCAATGTGAATTGGAAAGAAGTGCTAGCGCAAGATTGGAGACCATCGCATCGATTGAATTACGAAAGTGTCTTTCGGTCGCCGTCATTAAAAAAGGATTTAACATATGCTTGCTGATAGCGATTTGCCTCTTAGACAGCCTTCTAAAAAATATATACATATATATCTCTATTTTTTGTACTAACTTTTTGCGATCTAATGTTCGATATTAACAAATATGTTTTTCCAATAAATATTCGATATTGCATACTATAAACATTGTTGTTTAAAAATGAATGTACGAAGAGGCGAACGAAGAAGGAATGAACAAGGATGCAAATTTTTGCTGTTAAAATTCAGAAAAATACACGAATATAAAATAAAATGTTTATTGCTATTTAATTATTCTTGTAACGATATCATGTGAGAGTTGAAAAACTTATTCAAGTTATTTCAGCTGTTAAAGAAACATAATATTTTTAACAATATTAACACAAATTTCTAACAATTCTATACATTTTATATGTTCTATACATTTATACATTAAATACATTCGTTGCAACGAAAATGGTGTTATTGCGACGTTAAAATTAAATGTTAAAATTATAGAAAAGGCGTTCGTGAAGCAAAGCGCTTATTATAGGTGTGGTGTATGGTCTACTTCGCGTGCCAATAATTGAATTAATTCGTTAATTAAGTTGATTTTGGAACAATTCAACTACCATTGCGGAAAAGCGCGGCCATTGGTATAGGCGTCATACCGATAAGGCATCCAATCGTCACTCCGATGACTCGACCCTGCATTGAATAGAAAAACGCTGCTATAAGTTACAACAAATGCTAAAGAATAGTTCATTCCGAAGAAATATACATGATAATTATATATCTTATACTTTTCAAATTAGTTTCTTATACATTCATCTACTTTTTAAGTTTTATAACTTTGTTTCAGTTAATTTTAGAATTTCAATAAGCAGCAGTATTTTTTATATCTATCGTTATATATATATATATATATATATATATATATATATAAATAACAATAATTAATCATACCACGTTTACAGCTATCCGTGTCCTAGGTAGATTCAGCTGTGCTAGTGTCAATTTGGGTGTGTCAAAGCCGATTTTTTGAGCGAACCTCTCAACGTAGTGCACCGAACCGATTCCAATGACATCCGACACCGTGTTGCCCAATGCGGCTGCCGTCATGGTCGAGATTGGAAACCTTCTGTTCAACATCGTCTCGATTTGATCGCCCTGAAACGTTCATTTGGAAAGTCAGTAAACAGCGGACAACAGAGACCTGTAAAGTACGTACAGCAACGATCATGATGAAGTTGTCGAGAAAACCAAATCCTATGAACGGAATTGCATTCGCGATCGCAACTGCAAAAATACAATGAGATTATTTATTTTCCTTTTTAATCAGTATTCTCTATGAGATCTAAATTATATACACAAAACTTCGGTGTATATCTTAAATGCGTAAAGTTTGTTAAAATAAAATTCTTTCTCCAGAAAAGCAAGAAACGAAAAAAAAAATGCGATTCACTAACGAATATCTAATTGAGTAGCTCTGACATAGTAAGCAATACATACCTACCACCAGATCTTTTGTGGTTGGTTCTGGAACGTTTTCAACTGCAATGAAAAGAAATTCAATGAAAATCTACAAGTTATTTAACCAAATTAATTATTTAATTAAAAATTTCTACAATCGTTTAATGAATTTAACTAAGCACCAACTGCTAAGTACTGTTGATAAAATTCAATATTTTTCATACACAGATTGTATTTTGTAGTGATGTATTTTTTAATATAAAATAAAAAAGGAAATTTTATTAAGATTTAAATAACAAAAACTTTGAACAATTATTTTCAGTGGTTCAAGACTTCTTTTTATTATGAGGGAAAGAGACCAGAAAGAGCTCATACTTGAAGAAGATTCTAATAAAGAAATCATTTTAGAATAGTCAGAGAATAACTGAATAATTTGTGATGATTTTAAAGCAACCCAGATGAATGATTACTTTAAATATCAGACATTTGTAGGAAATACAGAAAATAACATGTGCAGGAAAAAAAATTCCACAATTTGAGGATCAGGAAAAATTAACTTCCACAGTGGAGGAAGATTAAAAGAGAAGGGTGAATCGTAGAAAGTGTCCAAAGTATTACCTAACTGTGGCACTGTGGTTGACCGTGAAACATCCGAAAAGTTGTGTTAGAATAGAAGAAGCAAGCGAAAGGGTTAGTGTAATTAGAGAGAAAGAGAGTGAAAAGTAGTGAAAGAGAGAACAAGGAAGATTTAACTTACAGAATAACATCCATGGAGATCGCATTGCAGGAAAAAGATTCCATTATATCCAAAGATACCATTAAATAACAGTCGAGGATGTTAATTTTATTTTGCGAGATCTATAGGTAATAAATCTAAGTTAATGCTCATAACATTTTTATGTATGTAACAAACTGTTACACCAAAGATTAAAAAAAAAAAAACTGCATCTCTTTCTTTAGTAGTCTTGGTGAGCCAATTACAACGTACATGTCGTTCAAACAATAATAATAAGAACATTCTTACCATACTTGTTATTTAACCAGTCATCTGGTACAGGGCAGAAAGTTCCTGTAGGATCCACCTCGCCCAACGATGGTAATTTGCTAGGCCTACCAAGTTTGCTCCTCCATCGGATAGCTGCAAGTTGACCTGACAAAAAATGCAAAAACTTTATTATTCAGTTCATAACGACGTATTACATAAAAATCAATACACTTTATACAATAAATATACACTTCTAAACGATAAGTTTTCATTCAAGATAAATCGATTTTATACAAAAATAACAGCCAAATGCTTGTTTAAAAATATAAATCGATTGAAAGCTAATAATATGCTTACCTTCATAGCCAGCCTTCTCTTCCTGCGATTTGCTTTCATTCAATGCTGTCAAGAACAGCTTACGCTCTTCTGCGGTGAGCTTCAACACCAATTCCTTCGCTTGTTGCTTCGCCAGAGCTTCGATGACAGTGTCGGAAGTTATCGGAGTCTTCATGGAAGAGAACATTCTGCAGCTTTCGTGAAAATGACTCGAGATTTGTGAAACACCGACGATGCACGATAACGTCGGGCACCATCGCGATAAGTTACTGTCCATTAATATTTTGCTACAATTAGAATAACGCGATTGCTTGCCGCTGAATCGCGCGAAATCCCTCGAAGTGAATCCTCGTCGACTGAGCGCTGTCATTGACACACACATTTGGTCAAAATTCAGAAAACTTAAATTCTTCGAACACATGTAGATTTTTATTCGTCGATTTGCGAAGTTTCTGCCGCGTTATCTTGAGATGACAGCCTCTTGAAGACTTATCAGATTCTATTCGGTGAGTGCGCGAAAATGTTCAAGGACCGAGTGATGTAGACTCTACATTGCAGAGTGATGTCAGACGATGGCTATATATGGAAAACCTAAAAGAGCAACCGTTGAAGGAGCGCTCAGCGCACGAAAAACTGACATACAAGTATGAATTCTATGTGTGTGTAACTAGGAACGAACATGGTGGCCCCCCTCGCCGCGCGACGTGTTTCGCCGCTAGAGCTTGTGCTCCGTCCCTCTATTAGTTCGTGGATTTGACAATCCGTATTGACGTATATTTGTTTATTATTATTGATAGTGAGGCAGACTCGAAGAATTTTGATTATTGCTAATATTACATGCAAAATATGGTGTACTTACATTTTCCGTTAAATCTAACAGAGGAAGAATTGATGCTGCAAACTAAATACAATAAACTCAAGAGAAAGGTGCATATTGAGGTTATGTTTATATTTTCGCATCAAGTATTTTATATATATTGAATACAATAAGCGCATTAGATAGCAATTCAGAATAAATTGTAAATTTTTATTTTAATTTGCGTAAATGTATTTTTAAACAATTACTATAGTTGCATGTCTTTACTGTAATCACTCTTAATCATCTTCAATAATTTTTTTATTTCTAGAAAAAAGCGCTGCAAGATCTCAAAGCTCCCAAACAAGAAATAGAACGTATTCCTCAGGCACCAAAACGGCCTACTGAAGCAAGGGATGCTCGTGAAGTAGCTAAAAAGTTAATCAAATCCGGTGTGATTACAGCTCCGAAGACTCCTAAGAGACCGGAGCAAACTTTCAAGAGATCTCGTGGATTAGAAAGAAAACTAAATAGTACAGAGAAAACAATTAGTTCTTACCAACCATTTTCAGCTACACAGGAAGAAGAAGAAACAGAGGCAGCAAGGCCGAGAGTAAAAGATTTGTATAACAGTTTTGTTGGCGCTCAAGATACTGGAGAAAGAAATGTCAGTGATACGCATACTCCATCTAAACAGGAAGTTAAGCCACGCACAGGGAATACGTGTACGACGATATTTGTATGTGGTTATAAAATAACAGAGGATTATCTTAAGAAACATTTCCAAAGTTTTGGAAATATTATTAATATTTCGATGGAAGTGGAGAAAAAGTAAGCATATATCACTTTCTGTTTTATATATATACAATAATATGCATTCAACACTCTAACATATTAAATACTTTTATAGTAATATGTTAACATTAATAAATGATTTTGTTCTTATTTTTCTAGCCGTGGCTTTATAACTTTCGAAAAACCTGAAGCAGCTAATAGAGCGATTAGCGAAATGGATGGCAGTATGGTGTCTTCAATCCAATTAAAAGTATCATTAGCAAGAAGGCAACCTATAATAGAGCCCGTTGGTGATGCTATGTCCAGTTCTATGTGGTCGCCAATTGCAGCTAATTATTCACAGAAAAGTGCATATAAAGACAGACGAGATCTTAAAGTATATGAAGAAGATCTTTTCCAGTAATTGTAAATTATAAAATTCGCAATAAATTTAGGCAAATATTATCAATGTTTGTAGAATAATGAGTAATATATGATTATTAAAAATGTTGCAAGGATAACAATTGATTATTAAATCTCAGACCTATTTCAAAGAAAATATAGTTAAGTTTTTGTTTTTATATTTCATTTTCTTTACACCGATTAGCCGTATGATTATCAGTCATTTGCTCGTACCTTAAGTGTAAAAAAAAGAGATCAAATTAAAACGATATAAGATATGTAATATAAAAGAATAATATACAACATAAAATATGTAACATTTTATATTTTATATATATATTTTTTGATATTCAGATTATAATTTTAACAGTTAGACAATTTGTAAAATTCGATTTTTACGAATTCTACAATTTATACAATTTGAGAAGAATATAGATAATAAGATTTTTACATTAAGATAAAATTTATACATTATTCCACAAAAAATACTCCATAGAAAACAAAGCAAATGCTCAAAATTATGAAACTTTAAAACTAACTCTACATTTAAAAAATAACGTTTACCACCGACGTTAACATTAGCGTAAAAATGTAGGTTTGATTTCAAAGTTGCGTAATTCGGCCGAAAAAAATAACAAAATTTAAAAAAAACCTGTTTTATAAGTAAAGTATTGTAGTATATTTTTTACACTTGTTATAAATTTTATGAGAAAATTTTTTTTATCGAGCTGCAATGTTGAAACCACATAATTTTAAGAACAAAACATTGTGTCTTTTTTTTGGTGTTTAGAATTGTGAAGATAAAAAATTTTCAAAATAATCTAAAGCATGATTTTGATTGATTTCTGATTTTTCGTCAAGTTACAACGGTTTGAAAATGACTTCATTTCGGGCATCCGAAAATTCGAACGTCACGACGTGCAAAAGCAGCGCGGCTGAATGGCTGAGTGCGCGGTGACTTCAATGCGCGCATAGTACACTGATGCATTCGTGCGTACTAATGGCGTAACCAAATTTTTTTAAATAAAATATTAATCATTTTTAATATAACTGTAATCTGAATTTACTTTTGTATTTTACAAATCAACGTATTGTCGTGAATAATTGCCATCAAGAATTTTTAGAGGAAGAGAAAGAAGCAGCTAAGAAGTAACATCGCAGTAAGTAAAAATGTGAATTTTGCCATTTGTATAATTTATGCATATTTATACGTTGGATCGCTAACTTTTGAATCCTAATACGTGATAAAATTAGAATTAAAAGAATTGTAAATAGAGTACATCAAATATTAAATTTTATAATCGTATATATATTTGGCACAGTAATATAATTTTACAATTTATTTCTTACAAACCTGGCATTTCGTTTTATTTCGTTATTTGTACAAGAATTACAATTACGTCTCAATTTCCTGTTTTGTCGTGTTTTTTTTTTTCAATCATTTTTCTCCAATACGAAAGTCTTGTTATATAAAACAAATTTATATAAGAATATGAAATTTTAACTTCTACGAATCAGTGAACTACGTGTGAATTTATGAATAGTATGTATGTGGATTTGTATGCACAATGTAAGTAAACTGTATTGTAGAAAACCGTGTTATTTAGGAGGATTGAAATAATCCCAGTGATGATAATGCGTTACAGTTCGTGTGCTACTGAAATAATATATCAACAAACCCGCGATCAAAAGTAACAGGGCACATATTACTATTTCCACCTCTCTAACTTTCTCCCTCGTGTCGTCCGCGCTTAGCGCGGACGTTAAATACCCTACGAAATGCCTCATGGCTTTTATACCGGCCAAACGAAGAGCCCGAAGAAGTTGCTGCGTAGTATCTAAAACACCGGGTTCTGAATCGGTGCGTCGACTCGTTGGTGCATCACTCAGAGAAAAGAAATGGGCTGGAATCTCGGAGACTGGAAAGGCGATGAATTGAGTCGAGTTGGGAGGTGAGGAGGATACCGGCGACTGAGAGGACTCCCTTTGACCCTCCCTAAGGGCTTGTCCCAAGTCGGGAAAGTGGGTGATGACGGCACGCTGCGGTTGTGCGCCCGTGGGAACGCCGTGTCCCGCTTTCGAGGCGTAAGAGATGACGGCACGCTGCGGCTGAGCGTCCGTAAGGATACCGCCGTGTCCTGATACGGTCGAGTCGGGCGTGTCGGGAGTCACGGAGATGGCTGGTGGCAATGAACGGACCGGGGATGCGGTCTGCCGCATAGCAGGCGAGGGGGATCTAGATCTCGACTTGCGGAAAGCCGGCTCTTTACTATCGGACACGTCGTCCTTGCTGCCACGAAGACCCGCAGACGTTGCGCCCAACTCGGCAGTGGTGGTTGTCGTCGCTGTTCGGGCAGAGCTACTCGGAGGCTCGCCCTCTGCGCGCTCCGGCGACACCCTCGATTCGGAGGGTCCGGTCGAAGAAGGCACATCCGACGAAGGATACGGAGCACGAGATTCGTCCACGTGGGAGCCCGACGTGGTTCGCGAAGTCAAAGTTAGGGGATGTTCGGGATCTAAAATTCGTAAGGACTCATCTTGAATATCCGCAGCAGCCGTGTGCAAATGCGCGATGCTTACGTCTGCATCCTTGGATTCTAGCTTATCTATTTTAAGTATCTGTGGGGGAGGGGAGGGGTCTTTGGTTTGAGCAACTGAGGGGGTGTGTGATGTTTCTTGTTCCCTGAGATCTATTACGTCTGTTTTAACAACCTTTTCGTCCTCGTCGGCCTTCATCGTCTCGTCTTCCGTGGACGCTTCCGGTTCGCTCGCGACGGTCTCGCTGAACTCCGCGACGGCCTCGTCGGATTCCGTCGCTTCTCGCGAGGACTCCCGCTGCTCCGCAGCCTCCCGCTCCCGAATTTGACCGCCGTCCGTTGTCGTGGGAATGTCGGCCATCTTGCGGCTCGCGGACTCCTTCTCGCTCTCGCGCTGCCTCTCCTGCGCCACAGTCTCCAAGTGGCTTCTTATCGCTATCAGCTCCCTGATGATGGCCGGCGACAGGCTCTCCTCCAAAGAGTCGCCGCCTCGCATCAACTCCGACGCCGTGATCATCATCGCGTCGATCTCGGACGCCACGATCTTGTGCGCTTCTATCTGCGACACGCTCAGCCGATCGACCTTCAAGTCTCCGACCTCGAGGGTGCTTATTCTCAGCGGCTCGTCGGGCAACAGTAAGCCCGACTTGATCTGACGTGGTCGTCGCGGCGATTCGTCCGCGATGCGCTCTTGCAGATGCGGCGCCGATCTGTGCTTGTTCTCGAGATCGGCCTCCCTCATCGGCGACGGCGACGTCAGCGATACCGTTTCGAACGCCATTCCGGCGTCTTCCATCTCCCGTTCCATCTCCTCTTCCTCCTCCTCCTCCTCCTCTTCCTCCTCCTTCCGCAGGAACTGCGATATCGGCAACGGCGGCACGGGCGGCGTGCCCGTTCTGCTCGGACTGGGTATGCGTTCCATCGACACTAATATCTGCGAGCCGGATCTGGAGGGCGTCACTATGAGCTTCGCCTGCGTCACTTCCTCCTCGATCACCATATCGTCCGGCAGCGGATCGGTCTGCGTCGCCGCCGTTGCCTCCATCATTTCCGCGTACTCGAATGGGGTGCGGGGTCGTCCGACGACCTGCTCCTTCCTCGACCTGGGCGGTCTCGGCGGCGCCGGAAGCGGTCGACCTTGCATTCGATGGAGCACCTCGCCGCTGCGCAGATCTCTATGCTCGGTGTCGTCCGTCTCGATCTCGATGTACGGCTCGGACTCGGCGGCCGACAGGGTCGTCCTGGTGATCGGCTCCGACGTCATGCTGGTGTCCCTCGTTCTCACAGGCCCCAGAGTGCTGTACGCCCGTAGAGGCCGCTTCGGCGGAATCGGCCTCGGCGTCGTCGCGAATTTGCCGCGTTTTCGCCTGGGCGGCGGCGGCCTGGGCGGCTTCTCCCGTTTTTCCACGATCGCGTAGCCGGAGAGGTCGCGCGCCGAGCCGCTCTCGTCCTCCCGCGGTATGTCCTCTTCGATGTAGCCGGCTTCCGGCAGCGATTCCGCGCCGTGCGACGTCCTGTCCTCGTCGGCGGCGACCGACGTCGTCCGCGAGCGGGATCGCCTCTTCGGCGGCAGCGGAACCGAGCCCTGCCGTTGCAGTCGCGCCTCCAGATTCTCCATGTCCTCGCGACTCGCGGATACGAGCGTATCGCCGTCGGCGCGCCGATCGAGCAGCGATTGCCGCGATCGCGTCGGCATCGTCGGTTTCTTGGAATCGATTTCGGCCTCCCATTCGCGATGACCGTTGCAGATCGGCGCGACCACGTCGCCGTTTCGCCGATTCACCACCGCTTCTCGATGCGAGCGTTTTCGGCGCACCGGCACGACGGGCGGCGCGGAAAGAAGACCGGGCGAAGAGTCGGGTATCACGAAGGGCGCCGGCGGCGAGAGGATCGACGTTTCCATCGGCGGCTGCGACTGACTGCGCAGAGAGGATCTCGACTTCCTGCGCGCCGGTTTCACCACAACTATATCGTCCAGCGGCTCCTGCGACAGTTCCCGTTGATCTCCCCCTTCCGTCTGATACACGACGAGATGCCTGGAATCGCTTCTCGAGTCGCTGCGGGTGCGCTCGCGGAACACCTCGTCGACGATCGACGTTTCCCGACTGCGCCGAGCCGAGCGTTCCCGCTTCGGTCTGACCGGCGGTGCTGCTTCGTCAGGCTCCGCCGAGTCCTCCTTGCGCTTCCTCAGCGACCGCATCCTCTTAGGACGTTGCGGCGGCGTAGGCGGCAGCTCGTCGTCCCGCAAGGCGTTCGCGATCTCCGATCTGAGAGCGTCTCGGAGCTCGTCGGTCAGATAATTGCCCAAGTTTACGTCGTCCTGACTTATACCGCTCGCCCGCAGGAAGAACTCGTCGGAATCGATCTCTTCTATCACGCCGTGGCGCCTTCGGTCGCAGGAACTGCCGCTGGACGCCTGCTGCTCCCGATCGGACTGCATCGATGACGGCTCGTGCTCCTCCTCGCCTTCCTCCAATCCCTCCCCCTGCTGCTTCTCTTCGGACGTCGTTTCGCGCGGCTTAAATTGCCTTGGATCCACCGCCATGAACGCTCCGTCGTAGTCCTCTGGCTGCAGAGCTCGCGGCATGTCCTCGTCTAACGATCTCGATCGCGGGATGAATTTTTCGTCGGACGTCATCTGCTCCTCCGCGCGCCATTCGTCCCGCGCCGCTGCATCGTCGTTCTCGCGATTCGCCGCTCGATCGTCGTACAGCCTCGGATCGATCGCCTCTTCCCGCTCGTACGATTCCTCCCGCCTTCTCGACGCCTTGTGGCTTCTTCTAGGCGGAGCGGGACGCCGATCCGACATCTCCGAGGATTCCTGCTCGTAATCCATGTACTGTATCTCCTCGTCGTCGTACTGCTCCCGCTTTCTCGCGTCCTCCCACGGGATCGCGCGAGCGGCCGCCAGTATCTCTTCCTCGGTTCTGGCGGACAGCCTCGGCGGTTCCTCTATCGAGCTCTGATGCCACGGTGGAGTGCCGTCGCTCGCCGCAGCCTCGTCCGGGCGATCCTGGTCCCGGGTGTAAGCGGAATCTCCGAAGCGCGACGTCCATCTGGCGCTGAAAGCCTTTCCCTTGCGTGCGCGCGGGAGAGTCGCGCTCTCCGCCGACTCCGCTCTCGAGTCTTTCGGCGAAGACGTCGCGTAATCACCGCGCTTCTTCGACTTCTTGTCGAAGATGCGCGGATATGTGGCGAAGTCGAAGATGTTGCGCTTGGAGCCGGCCGTCGATTCGGTCGAGTGTTGCTGCTGCTGCTCGCGCAGCGGGGGCGGCCGCTTGACGCGCGTGAGCGCGCTGGGCAGGTGAATGTTGGGCTTTTTGATATTGAACTTTGATTTGTCCGGCAAGTGGAAGCGCGATTTGTCCGGCAAATTGAACTTCGGTCTCTCCGGCAGGTGAAATTTCGACTTGTCGGGCAGACTGAATTTTCCCGCTTTCTCGGAGATGGACGATCTTATCCGCTCTATTCGGCTAGGTCGCTTCTCGGGCGTGCGAGACTTGTCTGACTTGCCACTGCTGGCTGCCGATCTCTTCGTCGTCGTCGTCGTCGTCGTCGTCGTTGTTGTCGTTTTTTCGGGCTTCTGCCGTTTCTGCGGGAACGAGAATGTGGGCCGCTGGATACCCCGAAGCCGGGAGCGCAGTTTACCAGCCTGATTCTTTAAACGCTGAGGGAAGCCGCGAGCACCGCGTCGGAGCGGCAACTCCTCCATCATAGACGAGTCTACCTGAAATTATGAACACTTCTGTGAAAATGAGGATTTCTTTCTTTCACTTACACGTAACATAACGGCAAAATATAAAATTTGTTTGTTGCAAGCTATTTAAAAATATTTTTTTAATATAGTTTGATGTATTTTTTGTTGCTGAAAGCGAGAAAGAATCCGGAAATCTAGTATTAATGTAAGATGTTATAAATTATGTATAATATTGGTCAAATAGCCTTTTTGAGGTCGCAATGAAAACGAATTAGCATCGTGCCAAGCATTCGACATGCAATGCCGTTTAGAAACACGAAGAGCATTAAAAGTGCACACTTTTCGAGCGTTATAAATTAGACCTTCGCCGCAGTATTGTGAAACCATCAGGTTTCGAGAAACTTAAAATTGGATTCATCTACTGTGCGATTCTCCGAAATAAATCGCGAAGTACTTTGGTGAATTGACGTGAATCTCGAGTCAATTTACGCTCTCATTGAAAAATATCGGCAAGGTCGACGATGATTAATATTTCGACGGCGCCATACATATTCTTGGATCCGATTGCGCAATCGATGGAAAAGCTCGAGCTTTCTGGAACGTGTTGCGAGCGAGACGATTGCACAATCGGACAGTGACACGTTCGCGCTTCCTTTTTACACGCGAGTTTCGCTAAATATAGGCGCCATTTGGTTTCGCGAGTAACGAACCGGAGACAACAAGAGAAGCCTCGCAAGCTCTTCGTGACGTTTTCGAAATTCCGGGGGTCTCTATCGATTCCTGTGCGCGGCGCAGCTAAATTTAACCGTTCTTTTTATCTTATTCCTTCTTGTTCAATTCGCGAACGAAAGGCCGCGGCAATCGGAAATCTCGGACGATGCACATCGCATCGATTCATCCATAATATATTTTCAAAGATCAAAGATTTTTTACAACAGCAAAATTCGTTTCCTTCGCGCGGAGAGCTTCACTGCGAAATATTCATTTCTGTCGGATCAAACTCGGCGAACACTACCTGACTAGTGTTGATCTCGCCGTCGGTCCTGGACTCGGTGTAGGGAGCGGGCACGTCGAGGAATCGCTCCTCGAGCCTGTCTTGAAGCTGCTGCGCCGTGGGTTCCAGTTCCTCGGCGGACGTGTCGCCGGTCTCGCCGAGCTCGCGGCCCTCCATCGCGCTATCCTCGATCTTGCCGTCCAACGGAAGGACCACGCTGCGGTCGAGGATCAGCTCCGGCGGCAGCCGACCCAGCACGTCGATGCTGTCGACGCTGTCGGCGACGGGCATCACGTCCGTGTCGGTGATCCGCACGACCGGAGCCATCGCCGGATGCGGCAGCAACGGCGGCGGAGGCGCGATCGGTTCGTACTCGTGCTCGCTGCAGCGAGAATTCATGCTTACACTGAGACAATGAGATCGATTCTCTGAGAATTGAACTGCCGATTCAACTAGCCCGCATGGTCGCTGCGATAGAACTTTCCTCGAGTATATTTGAAACGAGGCGGATGTTTTTTAATCTAGTGACGCGCGAGTCAGGCGTTACATCATGGATGTCAGTCTCGCGGGCTAAAATTTCTCTCTTTATTCTCTTGTCGTGTTCAACAAGAAAATAAATTCTACTCAAAATATTGTTCTACACTGGAGGAGTAAGCGTTAATAAAAAAGAGAAAAATAGAAATATAAAACAGTTGTGTTATTAATATAAAAATTAATTATTCTTCTGTTACATATTGTTCTTACAGACGAGCGTTATTTAAGTATAAATATATGCTATCATGCATTTATTAACTAATATGTAAATATTGCTCCGTTTTGTGCGCTATTTTATAGTAGAGATAAAAAATTGCGCCGAATATCATATTATGAAGTGCATTATATTCAAAATAGATTAGTCTAATCGTGTCTAGGTTGTGTATTTTAGACATCTTCCAATTTCTCCCATCCGATGATGACGTATTGTCCCACATGTTTGACCCCCTTTCGATCTCATGAGACCGACGCAAACGAGTTCAGGACAAAATTACACAGGATACCTACGTCGGAATGGTCATGTCGATTGAAAAAACTCATCAACCGATGACATGCTAACCATGTCACTGTCTGTAACGTCGCGTTATGTTCGTTTTTTTTTAGACTCACAAGTCGAACAAGAAGCAGATGTTATTTTCAGTGCTACTTTAGAGTGTGCAATTTTCCGCGCATACCCCTCATTGATCCTAGCACTCTTACATTTTGCTGGAAAGATATTATTTACAATTTTTCATGTAAAAATAATATCTGATCCTTTAAGTATAATATATCTGAAAAATTACTTACTAAAAATTTCCTAAAGAGGTGAAAATTTGGTACGTTTAATTCTCGATATTATGGATATTGCAGGCAATCCTAAATTTTTCTGTTTGTACACATCTTTTCCAGGCATCTCGTATATTTTCGAGTCGATTTTAGATACCGATTGCTTTCATTAATTAAAATAAATATTGAGATTACTTTTTTTTGTTTTCGAAATATTGATAGCTCGTTAAATTATCTTCAACACTAGCCACTTGCTAAAATATCTTGTTTTGATCAATATAGTGTGTGATCTAATGGTTTCGCTGCAGTTTCGCGCCGTGGACATCGCGGTGCGCACGTGTGTACGCACGATCTGCAAGCGTGGTGCGGGGAAATCGGACTCGGCGGATTTGGGAGCTGACTGAGCTTTCTATCTATAGCCAGCCGGGCGAACCTTAAATAGCCGCGGCGGTACGCGACGCGGTTTTCGCACGGGTGTGCAACCTACACCCGATACCGCGACCTGGATGTCGGCGACGCGAAAGGTACAGATCGAACGGGTGATCGGTGAAAAGCCACCTTGTACCGTTTACCGCCCCGCGGCCGGAGAGACGAGGCGCCGTCCGGCCTCGCGCCGCTCTCGACATCGGCGGGCTCCGGACACACGCGGATGGATGCGAGGATGGATACTGACCTGCAGCGGACCGCGTGTGGCTGCTGCATCGTCCTGGATGGCGGTCTGACGAGGAGAGCACGCCGTTCCGGCAGAAGCGAGTCGCTCTGGTAGTACTGACAGCCGCAACGGACCTCGCGTCCGAGGCTCGACGTCGACGATGCCCGCGAAGCGCGTCCTCGCTGCTCCGGCTCCATCCCCACCCCCGGAGGGACGCCGTGTCCGGCACTCAGTCCGCCTCCTCCAGTCTCTCCTCTTCCTCTGCCTGCCTACCTGATCTGACGTCGACGATCGCGCAACGACGACGACGACGACGATCCCGTTTCGTTGTTCCTCTCGTGCCGATGCTCGCGAGACGAGGCACCCTTTGCCTCTCGCTCGGGAGAAAGAGGGAGAGAGAGAAAGAGAGAGAGAAACACAGAGAGAGAGAGAGA